CAAAAAGTATATTTTACGTAATTCCTGCGAGTTACTTACGCCTAGTTGTGATTTTATATATCTCAATTTCTTTTAAAACTGTTGTGTTTAGAAAATTGTAACTTTAAATATAAACTTCGGACAGTTAATATTTTATGGTAGTCACAAGAAGTTATTATCTTTATTCAAATTTTCAATAGAATTTTCTCTTACCGCACGTTTGTCAAGATTTTAAAGAAGAAACTTAATATTTATTTAATTAAAAAAATAGTTATGATTTATTATTAGTTTAAGTTTAAGGAAATCGAATTTAATTATTTTGAACTTTAATGAATCTGAAATATTTATAAGACTTACACTTTCACAGAAATATTTTGTCGCAATACCACATGATTACAAATTTAAAATCCAAGCAGACTCGTATGGTTTTGATAACTGTTTAAGATTACAAAATAAATCTCTAACAAATTAAAATTTTCTAAATGTATCGTTTACATAATATTAAGTTTTGTAAAGGTTTGCAAGACAGTGACTTATTCATTATTGATGAATATTCAGTGAAGGTTAATCGCAATCTTTTCAAACCTTCGATTTCCTTCAATTGCTCCTCCGAGTGAAGAACTTTCGTTGATTATGCACATAATACCAGGGCTGACGAAGTAGAAATTCTTCCCAATGAATATTGGAATATCTGAAGCAGAATTGGAAGGTTCCAACTGCGTCATTTTTTTTTTTGATTTTTTTATTACTTTGTGAGGAGAAATATGATAGATGATGGAATAAAAGATAGAACGAGAATTCCCATATATTCGATAAATTATTCATTCAGATGTGGTGGAATCATTTAGATATTATCAAAAAGGGAGAAACGATTTTAATTTTGCACGCTTCATTTTAATTTAATTACTTTGTAGCTATTAATTAAATTGTAATGGTATCCAATTATAAGTACTTAGTTCGATTCTTGAAATTTTTTATTAATCTGTTAAGAATATCTGCTCTTGCGTGAAAAAAAATGAATTTGGTTTTTAAAGATGCGTTGAAATAGATTATTATAAATGGATTTGTAACTTTATTTGATATACATTAGAGTAATAATAGTTTTTATTGTTTTATTCTGACAATTGTTGGTTTAAAATAATAAAAATATAATTCCATTTTTAAAATAGATGTAGCCAAAATTAAAAAAACGTTTTCAAAATTTTTAAAATCTCCCAAAATTGAGTATTTTGTTGGGGTATACTTTTTTTTTAAATAGTATACACCGTTTCCGCACAGCTAAGGGTACAAAAATGATTAAAAATATTTTAAACTACTTGCAAATTTCTACTCTTGAAATTGAACTTAACTCTATATGAATTAAAAAGTTAACTATTTCTTTATTTTCTATTATATTTCGAAAATCTAATTTTTGAACGTTTTAAACTAATTATGATCAAAATATTACATTAATCGATTTTCTTTAAAAACAAAATCAAATAATCTCACTGCAATTTCAATATATACCAGTTTTTTAGAAATACCTGCAGCAGAAGCACAAAAATCTTTTGCAGAAACACAAAACATTGTTCTTGAGAAAAACGATTTTAAAGTTTGCAGGTTGTTTGTATTCAGTGAATGCTTACTTCAAAAAAAATTACGACTTCAAAATTTTTTGAGTAATCAACAAAACTTAGGTGTCAAATGTATCAGAATAAATTTAAAAACAATATAATTTCAAAAAATTGGAAATTTCAATCTGCATCACCTCTTAGACAACTTAAAAAATTCAATTTAAATGTATCATTTTAGCTCACAAAACTAACGTAAATAATGTAATTTTCTAAATGATTAAAATTGAGTAAGCAATAGTTTTTCAACTTTAGGATTTGTGCTAATTAAATTTCATAACATCAAGAGTTTATTAAACAAAGTAAATTAAATGTAACATTTAATTTAACACAATTAGTTTAACTTAAAGATACATTCTTTGGGCATTTTAAATTTAAACAAAAAAATTCTGTTCGCATAAAAAATGTGTTCAGGAAATAAAATTTGATCAGATGATTTATAGATAAGATATATAATTTTTAGATAAGATATATTTTTATAATGTTCTTACGGGTTAATTACACATAAAAGCAATACACAAAAGGGGATTACTATATTATTACAGATTAAGAATGGTTTGATATATCTTTGTCTTGTTTTTGTTAAATTTGTAAGCAAATCAATCAGTTACAATTGAAGAGGAATGTAAGGTTTTGTCTGAAGTACGTACGCTTTAGAGTAAAAAATAGGTATTATTACAAATTAATAATAAGATTATATGCCTTTGTTGCCAATTTAATAAATTAATCAAATTTTACCAAATGAATAATACTCAATTATTTTAAAATTTACCTAAAAAATTTGTTCCTAACAGTAAACTTTATGGTATATTAGATGGATGCTCTGATCCCGATTATTTTACAGCATTTTTAAAATGAAAATTCTTATATTGAGAGAGGAAGAAAAAAATTTAAAATACTTCACAATTCATAAAAGCAGTATTTTCTTGCCATGTTCACATAAAGAAGTATAGTAGGACCTAACCTAATCATATAAATATGTATAAAAAAACTGTTAATGTAAAATATGTAAAAAAAACATCATTAGTAAATAGTATTAATACAATTAAATTGATAAATCACTTACTAATCATTAATTCTGTTACAAATTAAATATTCAATTCACACTTATAAAGAGTATACTAGTTTTTATAACCAAATTCTGTTTATTACTTTAAAATTAGTTAGAAGTTTGTATCAATCTGTAAAATTAGTAGAAATCTGTAGAAAGCTGAAAAAAGTAATATTAAATTTTTTATTTTTTTTAAAGAGTAAGTGTAAAAACTTTTCGATTCCCTGGTATAAGATTAAATTTTGCTTAATTTTAAACTATTCTTATAATACTTATCGCTAAAAAATTGTATTGTTCATTTTTAATTTTTTCTCTATTTCGTCTAGTTTGCTCCATGCATTCCTTTTTTTTTCTTTCAATTTTCTGGTTGAAATTTCATTGGTGTTCAACCATATTAACTTAAATTAATTCGATTGGAATATTTACTATTTAGAATTATAACAAGCATCAATGAGTTTCAATCCGTACATTCAATATTTCTTGTAAGAAAACCAACACAAACAAAGCGGTAACATGAGTGTGCAAACTATATTTACGAACTCTCTGCTTAACTCAATATTTAATTAATCTCTATAACTATTATTTTATCCTCTGTGGAAACAGTCTCTTTAATCACCGACCAAAATTTCTTCCTTTTCTGTAATTAGTTTACTTATTGTTTAATTCTTGCAATCAAATTTTTCTATACATGTAGGATACGAAATACCCGACAATTTAATTAATTTACAAATAAATGCGATGGTGTAAAAGTGTTCAAGAACTGTTATGTATTTCATTATGCGGGAGATTTTAGGAAGAGAAAAACAAGATACAGAGTACTTTTTCTTAATCCGAAAGTACGCGAAATATTCTCCCCCCCCCCCCACTAACAATATATCTTTTATTTATTTACTTAAATCAATTTTCAGTAAGGGGTGATGGCATGTACAACATATTTTTCTTCTGTCTTGTAATGCATAATATTTGGTTTTCGGAAAATATATTTTAGCGAAAAAGAAATTAAACAAAACACTGTATGATAAATTACTTGTAAATGTTCTAAAATGGTAGTGTGAATAGTCTGAGTATATACTACATCGAAAAAAGTAGTCTGTAGTAGTATCAGCCTAATAAGTTTAAAGCTAACTACTTCGCTTTCTAGTAACGGAAAACTTGGTTGTCGACATTTAAATTTTTTTTTAAAAAAATACAGATTTCGGAAGAAAATATCTTAATCATTAAGACTTATATTTTCAACAGTATCGAAGATAAGGAATTTTTTTTTCATCTGTTTTAACAGTAGCGTAATAAAAGTCTTAACCCTTTCAGAATCGTAGTCATATGCCCGGTATCATATATGATGCTAGCCTCTCTGTCTCTAGTGGACTATGGAACTCACTTATTTATCAATAATTATATCAGTTTGGTGCACTCGTATTATATCTCGCATTATTATGTAAAAGTACTCTTATGAACGTTTAGTCTCAGAGAGTGAGAAAGCGATTCTTAAACCTTCCACAAGTTATGAACGGGTTCGTGCAATTCTTGTCAATTCGAGTCAACTGTCAAGTTATTGCAGAATTAAACAGGCTGTTTTAAAACCCGAGGGTTATAAAAGTAATCAAGAAAACTTAGCATAGAACCTATGATTTGCAAATCAGGTTTAAGAGGGTGTATGATTTGAGTCTAGTCTTGTTCACCACGTTCGCCGGATTTCAATTTGTTTGATTTCTTCTTAAATCCCTTGTGCAAACGATGCATTTGTATACAACTTAGCATCTCATAACGTGAGTCATTGTCACTTCTTCGATCATACTGATCGTTTTAACACGTTGTAGACAGTACTGTGACGGTGGCAGGCGTCACTTCAATCAAATTAAATCTTTTTGGATTTAACACGTTTTTAGTATCTTTTGTGGTTGTTTTCTACAGGAATTTCATGATTCCCATCCTATCGGGCCTCCATGAGTCGTCCTCTTGATATCTTTTCGTCGGTCGAATTTCGGAACAACTTCTACATGTTAACACATCTCCCCTTTTCCTTATATATGTTAATGTACTCTTATCTGTAAAACTTCTAAGTGATTCCAATCTTGTTGCCGTTATCTATACCATTTATCTCTACCAACCAAATCTATCCATTACATTATAGTTGTGATTATGATTTTTGTACAATTTCTATATTTACAAACTTGGACACTGAAACTTTGTTTTATACGCTTGCACTCTAATTTATTTTATAGACTTTATTTTATACATATGTATATCTTACAATATTTATAAGATGTTTTTCCCTATTGAAAGTAACTGGTTTATATTTAATGTTCAATAATAATTATCTTATTGAAAGCATCATTTTTATTCTTATGTATTGTTTTCAGGAATACAGTGTACAACTTACATTTCGTGAACAGTGGCGGGACGAGAGATTGCAGTTTGATGATATGGGGGGTCAAGTACGGTACTTGACCCTCACAGATCCAGACCGAATCTGGAAACCGGATTTGTTCTTCTCAAATGAGAAAGAAGGCCACTTTCACAATATTATTATGCCCAACGTCCTCTTACGTATATACCCAAATGGAGATGTCTTGTACAGTATTCGGTAAGTGACGCATTTAAATAGATTAATATTTGTATGGAACAAAATTTTATGTACAAAATGAAGGTAAGTTAACGTATAAGGTATACCGCAAAAAACAAGAATAACAAAAAACTACTTTAAGCAAAGAAATTTTAAGCTCGTTATTTAATCATTATATTAGTCTGGCATATATTTATACTTTGCGACTTTATTGCTACTTGTAGTTTATTGGCTTTAAAAATAAAGTATAATTCAGCAAGTGAGTTGAACGTTTCGAAATATGAGCAATTGAAATACACTTAATGTGCCCATAATTGTAACGCATAACCGAACCATGGTTAAATCAAGTTATTTTGACTTTAAACAGACGACGCTTTTTCCGATAGGCCTTATTTCAAGCTTCTAAAAACACAGACAACAAGAGAACTTTCCGCCAGGTCAGATTTAATATGACCGTATACACGCCGGTTGCTTTGTCAGCTGCCAGGACTGAACTCACGATCTACAGATATGCAACAACAATGTGAGTAACATCTTACACTGTAAAATATTATGGATTAAATTACGGTAAAAAATACCGGTATTTTGGGTGCATCATTACCGTAAAATGATGCACCGTAAATTTTACAATATTTATTCAGAGTTACAGCAAAAGTTGCGGTAATTATGACTGTAAAAAGTATGGGTATATCAGATTTTTTTATTCAGTAACATGCTCCTGTAAAAATGGATTTTACGGTGAAAGGTGCTCAGAGTGTCTGTCTTTTTTACCGTAATTTGATCCAGAATTTTTTACAGTGCAACCGACTACGTCATGGGAGTGCACATAATTATGACAATAAATGCGTGTATAATCCTTATGTTTTTTTTCATACAAATTGTGATTAACTCTGATAATAAGCTTTAAATGCTTTTCATTAATAATTAGGCCTAAGTATAAAGTGCTTGGTAAACTAATTTTTAGATCACATCATTTTGAAACGCATGTCAAACACGTATATTTACGGGAATTGTAGAAGTGACTTTGTGATTTCGACTATTTTATCCGTTTAATTTGTGCTGTAGTTCACTAAAAAAATTTATTCTTGATGCAACAGCTGTTTAATATTTTTATATATATTTATTCGATTTTATATCCAATAAGTATTTTTTTGTTATTTATAGTGCTATATGAGTAATAATAGGCATTAAATTTATAAATAAATACAAAAACTTAATAACAATATTTATTAATAAGTATCTCTCAAATTATGATATCTCCAATTTGATGCATTAGAACAGCAAAATATTTCTCGAAGACAAAGTAATTAACTTGTTACTTACAGTGCGTAAAAACTGAATCACTCTGAACAACATTTGATCTAATGTTATGTTCCCGTACTAGGACCCAATTCTCATGGTTCGAGGGGTTGATCTCAAATGTGCTAAATAATTAGTGCAGGCAATATTTTAATTTACGTAATTAGACAAAAAATCATACATGCTTACAATCATACTTTTCAACAGATTTGGGCTCTGACCCCCATAATATGGATGGGGGTTAGCAGCAATTTAAAAAACAATCTGTCCCCAATAGTTTGGTTCGAAGAGTCGCCAAAAGTTTGGATTCCTTAATGCTAATTTTACTTTTTGTGTATTCATTCATATCTCACGAATTGATGTAAACTTAATCGCAAATCAGGTTTAGGAGGGAGCATACTCTGAGTTTATTCGTGTTCCCCGGGTTTGTCAGATTTCAATTGGTATGACTTCTCTTCAAATCTCAATTAAAATACGATAGAAAGTGCAAATTAAAATACGAAAAGTACGAATTAAAATAAGAATATTGAAAGATTTAAAAGTAAATGTTTTTGTTGAAAAGTAGTTAACCATAAAAGTTATTTAGATAATATACGTCTTTTTTAAATTTCATTTTCTCAGAAGCTATTCGAAAACATTCGTTACATTTTTTATGAAATTACATTCTTTTTAAGAGAAATAGGAGATTTCATTCCTTACAATTTTATATTTTTTCAGCCTTTATTAAATAAAACTGAAAAAAATAATAAAGAATTGTTAAAATATTTTTTGCATAGAATTATCCCTGGATAAACGTTCTCGAGATAAAGCATACTACGCAATTAATAATTTATTACTTTGTTTAATAATAGTCATGAAATTTTGAATTGAAAGGTATATTTGTTTTACATCATTTCAAAGAATGCAATTTTACATGGTAAAATAAAAAATTTTAATGAAATTGGTCAATAAGTTTCTGAGTAATAAAACTTTTTAAAAAAATCGTATGTTTAAAAGTTCTTATTATTCGATCAGAAATCAACCAGGGAATAACTTCTTTTTCTTTTCTTTGTGCACTGTACATTACCAAGAAAAAGCATTACATTTTTATTATAAATATTCCTCTTATTATAATTGTTTTTATTAAATATTATAAATATTTGTTTATTATGATATTTAATATTTAAATATGTAATTTTCAGAATATCATTAGTTCTCTCCTGCCCCATGGACCTAAAGTTTTACCCCTTGGACAAACAAACATGTTCAATTGTTATGGCTAGCTGTAAGTATCATTTTATAATTACCAAGAAAAGTTTATAGAATATTAAATTATTTTTTCTAAATAGTTATAATATAAATATCTTATAAAGAAATTTAATTTCGGAAAAACCACATAACCCAAGAATAATTTTCCAAAAACTTATCATAATAATACAACTTGGCATTAGAAAATAAAATTAAATTCATTTAAAGTAAATATATTTTACACTGGACCAAATACAACCTGTTGATTGAATAGGAAAATTCTGGTTATCGATATTATAGTTCATATTGCCATACATTAATAAGAGAAATACAAAACTGAAAAGTAAATTAATGATTTTTATGCCATGCTGTAAAGTATCATGATAAAATTATCACATTTTAACAGATTTACCAAAATTTATAAAGTATTATAAAATCACATTCTTTTAATAATTTTATCTAAAATATTATCAAAGCATTTCGGTAAAAAGTATCGAGTTTTCTGGTATGACAGAAACATGGTTAATTTCACCGTATTCTGGAAGTTGTAACCATATTTTTTTCTCAATGTTGTATTTAGAAAATACTAGATAAACTGTTATAAATTAAATTAGTTTTTTTAATTGAAGTCTAAATATGTTTAAAAAACGAAAGCTTATATAAGTTAGTATGTCATTATTAAAAAATAATGTAAATGCGAAATATAGTGCATTTTTTAAATGAAAAAGTTTTCACAGGAATTAAACACGTTTTATTTTCTAGATTAATATAAATAAATTTAAAACTTAATTCATCTTTTATTAAGCATTGTCACAAATAAAATTTAGAAGTATTTACAAGAAGTTATATCGCATTAAAGCTTTCTTAAATTTTGCATGAAAAATGTTCAGACTAAAGTTAATTAAAGTTAGCAATTGTAAATGATAAATATCCACAATGAATTATCTTCAATTTATAATATTCTAAACTATTTATGAAAAGGACATCAAATTGTTGTCGGGAAATTTCAGAATAGTTTAATTTAGTTACACTCTTTCGCAACATTTTTAGTAAGATTTTGAAATTTAATAAATTCTGCATGTAAAAAGAAAACTTGAGCTGTTTGTAAAACACCTATCTTTTGTTATAGTGTGTGGGAAATTACCCGCACAAACTTTGCTACTTATTTCTTTAAACTTCCCACACAAACTGTGTGGAAAATTTTAGTAGTTCATAATGTTAAGTATTAAAATATGCTGCTTATGATTGCATATTAAGATATATGCGGAATAATAATCTAAATTGATTTCTTCGTGAGTTATAATCAGATAACAATTATTCATCGAATCGTTTTGATAAATTACCAATTCGTTGATACATTAAAAGGATTTGATTGTTTTTATTTTCAATAAAATATATTACTTAATGAAATAAATACATTCATTTAAAAGATCATATATTATTATTCAAAAAAAAATAAATAGTTCTCTATCCAATTCGAGAAATTTAAATCTCCAATTAATAATATTAAAAACTATTTATGATCAGGACTTGAAATGTTATTGGGGAATTCTAAAACAGTTTTATTTAGTTACATTCTTTAGCAAATTGTTTTAGAAAGATTTTATAATTTAATAAACTCTGCACTCAAAAAAATAACTTGAAATAGAAATTTCATGAGTTATTTGTAAAAGAGCTATCTTTTAGATTTCACAAGCTGCGTCTTCTGTGTGAGTTGTAATCATATAACATTTATTCATCGGATCATTCTGATAAATTATCAATTTGTTGATACATTAAAAGGATTTGACTGTTTTTATTTTCAATAAAATATATTATTTAATGAAATAAACACATTCTTTTAAAAGATTATCAATTACCATTCATATAAGAACTAAATAGGTTTCTATCCAATTTGTAAAATTTAAATGATGCCTATTCACAACTCAAAATAAAAATTATTAAATAGATAATTTTCTTTCTACCATCCCAATTCTAGAGAATATTTAGGTAGAATCATTTCAACTATAAATTTGAATAAATTAACATTTAATTACAAAAGATATCTAAAGGCAAATAATCTAGTTAAGTTTCCTTAGTAAATACCAGATGAAGCTTCGCTGATTGCTCTTTTTAAAGACAAAGAAAACGAGAAAGGAAATTAAATTATATTACACTCACTAATGACAGAATTACAATCGATGAAAAGGCCCCGATAGCGCCATTTCTTTTTTTTAAGAAAAAAGAATTCCGAGGAAGAAATCGAAAAAAAATCATTTCACTTTTTAGCTCCATTACAATCTAAAATTTTCTTTTTTAGTGATTTTCATTACCGGGTACTTTTTCTCGCGTTACGTGCGTGCCCGTAATTAGTGTCAGCAACTTCTAATGAAGGCACCACAAGAAGAGCGTGACATTCTAAGCTAAACACTTAATTTCCTTCTCTTGTGATTAAGGTCATAATTTTTTCGTCACCGTAAAAAGGCAATCTAATCACGAGAAAAAAAATCCTAAAATAAGTCATGCGATCATCATTGGACCACTTCTCTTTTATGAGGACTATAATTTTGTTGATTTTTTTACAGTGATGCAGACCACTATTTTTGAACATTTTCATGCTTAGTTGAGAGGAAAACCTTCAACTAATTGCTGATTATAAAAGTATATCATCCTCATTGTTACGATAAATTCTCACTTGATCGAATCACCGTATTAATTGCTTCAATTAAAAGGCCAATAACTTTATTAAAGATTTTTGTATACTTATAATTTTGTTTATTTTAATTTTTTATTACTTTATAATGAAATTTAAATTTACAAAAAGCAACAATTGTTTCTATAAGATAACCGTTTTCTATAACATATAAATACGCTGAAAATAATATATTTTATCAGAATATTCAAAATCCATTAATTAGTCAGATAAAAATATTTGTTCTATCAAATTTGATCAGAATTCATTTTCCAATTAATTTTATTTTGCATGCAGTAGATGCTTCAATTATAAATTGGAATTATAAATGCTTGTTAATGCTTTGAAACATAATTTTTGAAGATGTATGGCACGATGTTTAAAAAATGAGTGGATTAACTTATATCAAAATTCGTGTCATAAGCTTGTAATACAGTCTGATAGCATATTTAAATTTTATTGCAATGCAAACTTTATTGCTAATAACAATTTATACTTTTTTAGACTATAATAATTTTCATTAATTTTTAGTTTGTAATGCCTTTAGCTTTCATTAGGAATTCTATAGTTATTATTACTATATAATTAACCATTATTTTAAAATAACTTTATTGAAATAAATAAAACCTCTCTTCTATAATATTCTGAATAATTTCCTTAAAAAGTAAAACCATTTTTTTCATCACATGGTAACCTATAAAATTATTTATTAAATTATAATAAAAATAAAAATAAAAATTGAGAGTTTTTTATCTTTTTAGAATATAAAGAATATAAAGGAATAAATTAAAAAATGTATAAAGGAATATATAAAATAATATAAAGGAAGAATATATTTTATAAAGAATATATTAAATAATATAAAGGGTGAAATTTATCAAAGTGAAGAAAAAATTCATAAAACTTTAAAAATTGGTTTATTAAAATTTTAATTAAAATTTATGCATTTTAATTAAATAATGTTATTGTTTTGGATTTCTTTTACTTTATAATTAACCATCTCGATCAATTTTAAATTCTTTAAGTAATTCTTTAAATTACATTTAATTTATGAGTTTAAAATATCAAATAAATATTTAAAACTAATTTATTTTTCATCATTGTATTTACCTTTTCTGCATTTTTTTTAATTAAAAACAAAATTAAAAACTATAATCCCATTAACTTTATCATATATTTTCCTATTTTAGAGTAAGGTATAGTTTGTGCTAATTGTATTATTAATGGCAAAATTTTTCTAGTTTCGGACAGTTAAGATGTATTTAAAATTCTTAAGTTCTAGTACATTATTTGCAAAATCTACATCAAAACACAAACTACAACCTGAGACTAACAAATGAAAAAATTCTAAATTAAATTGGTCCAGCGTTGAAAACAAGCAAATTCTTCCGTTTTAACGATCTTTGTTCCGTGACATAGCAAAATGAAGTTTGAGCTAGGCAGTTGCCAACAAAAATCAGTGATGTTTAAAAAAGAAAAAAAATAAAGCATCCCCTTTGAGAAACAACTGGAGTTCTCGTTGGACTTAACCAGTTTCGATTTTCAGAGTGAGACGAGGCATGAAAGACCCCCGGCTGAGATTCGATTTTCAATACTCCTGTTTCCCGTTTCTGGGAGAGTGTTACTTTTGAAGAAAGTACCTTCAATCGAATCATAATCATCGTTGTTGAATTTACGAAGGGAAATGGTAATTACGATACTCTAAGTTTAATAAATAAATTTTTAGTATTTTGAGAGCCTTTCCCTACCCACCCACCCTGCAACCTAGAAATAGAAATCGATAGTAATTTTTGGCTAGGAACATAGTTACACTTTCTTTTATTTTAAATTACGCTCCTTGAGCATGTTCTGTCTACTATCACTTTTCACGATGATTAAAAATAGATGTTATACTCATAAACTTTTTCTCAAATTAATGATATTTTAACAAATTTACGAGGGCTGTTTTTTTAAGTAAGCGCTGTTTGAAAATAAAAACCAAACGAAAGAAGATTTTCACGAATCGAATGTATTTTTCGATTCTACATATGCTTCTCTTTTTTTTTTCAAAATAGTTGCCAACCTCTGGGGATACTGATCCAGGAATTTCCTTGCCTTCTGGATTGGTTCAAAATTACAATGCCACGGAGTTGAACAGCAGTCGTAAAAGCAAAATTGGGTCAGCTTTCAAAGACAGATCTAAAATAAGATATAAAATAAAATAGTTGTAGGTTTGCTTAAACACTTATCATACCTTACAACTAGACTTAGAATACCCTCTTTACAGTAACTTGCCGCCTGCTTCGATAACCAAGATGCCACGACCGTTTTCACGTCTTCGTTTTCGTTGTAATGGTTGTCACCAAAATGACGTTTGAAGCATCAGAAAGGATGAAAATCAATTAGCACAAGATCTGGGCTGTATTGAGGGGTGGTCCAAAACTTCCCAGCCATAAGAGTCCAATAAAGCGTGGGACTGAGCTGTGGAGAGAGTCACTGCATGGAGTAGCGAAATATCCAGTCAGAAGGAAGCCTCGTAAACTTAACAGTTATGTGGTTGAATATATCCAGCAGACATGTTTTTTGCTGACTAAAGACACATCACTGACTATACCTCATAAGCGGCGGGTGATTTGTTAAACTTGAAAATTTCAAGACACAGAACTGAACGTATAGATTACCTACCACAGCTGTAACTAATCACAGTTGTTCGCAAGAAATGCCAGAACACTACGCAAGTACTCGTTGCGACACACGCGTCACATATTAGTGTACACAACAAAACGGCCCTTACCCAAAAAACAGCCCTCGCACATTAAAAGGTTTAATTTCAAGGTATTTAAAAATAGTTGTAATATTCGCAAACTTTATACTTAACTAATGATTTTTTAACGAATTTGCATCAAAAGATATCAATTTTACTATTTCTAAAAATAGGTGTTATACTCATAAACTTTTTCTCAATCTAATTATATTTTAACGGATTACCATCAAAAGATACCTATTTCCCGATGCTTGCAATTATGAGTAATATTCATAAACTTTATCTCGAATTAATAATATTTTGATAAATTTGCATGAAAAAATGGGTAAACATTAAATTGTTGATCGAAATCCTTACATTTCATTGACATAATGATTTAGCGTTGTCAATTCATCAAAAAACCAAATAATTGCGTTGCATCAATGGTATAGATTAATTTAAAAAATAATGTAAACAAACTCTGTTATTAATTATTTTTGAAATATTTGAAGATATTTGAGTTATAAATTTCTGTAACAGAGAAAATCTTATTAGCGTTTATTAGTATCATTATTTAAGAAGGAAAGAAAATCATTAATAATTACAAAAAATTTGAATGAAAAAATTTAATTGTTATTTACAGTCATAAATTCAATTTAAAATATCATAAGAATACGGTGATATTAATTATTCTACAACAAATATTACCATAAACATAAAATGGAGAAAATAATTCGAACAGAAAAAAGAATATTAATATTTAAAACTACAAGGTGCTTAAAAAAATAAAATATATGTTTACATTGGTCAATATATCAAAAGACATTTTTATCTGAGAAATAACGTTAGGAAACAGAATTAGTGTAAATAAATAATAATAAAACATATTTAAGACTTACCCTTTAAGTATATTTAAGGATTTGGTGAGCGATAGTTAGTTTACGAACGTTAACGTTAGTTTAAATCGTTAGTTTACGATAAAATAGCAATTATTGATGCTATTTGATTGCAGATTTTGACAATAGTTGTACTGAGATAATTTAAACAGAGCATTAAGATAATTTGGGTAAATGAAAGTACTATTCCGTGATAGGGTAGCTCCCTTAACGATGCACGGTGGCAATAACTTAACCCTATCTCCCCTTTGTATCATTCAAAGAATCTTTTATATTTGTGCATATACACGACAATGTGTAGCAGCACTTCATTTTTATAACACAGAGTGAAGTAAAGTGACATTGAGCAACATTAAATGAATTATTGAGTGAAATATACATGAATATAAAATATATATGAAACTTTTGACTTCATATTTTATTCAGAGAATGCTTTTTATGCCTGAGAAAACTAATGTTACAAAAACGCTTAATTTAATTTAAAACTACATTTCTAAATTACACTTCACTATTAAATAATGTCACTTGTATATTAAATAATGTCAGCCGTTCATCCCTTCAGTGGGTCGATAAATGAGTACCAAGTATGCTTGGAAACTAAACACTTAGGGTTCCGCGTACGGCTGACCACCTAAGCTGGACATCTACTCCTGCACCCCAGAGCCCAAGGTCAAGAAAACTGAGATTGGCACAGTACGTCTTGGCCCTCTGTGGGCTGTCGCGCCACTGAGTTTAGTTTATTAAATAATGTATTTTAGTTAGTATATTTAATTCTATTCTTTTTCGAGCAATTATTTAGACATAATATTTTTAGACAAAATATGCTGGATGCTAAGTGTTACTTAAGCTGAGGTAAGTCAAAAATCAAGTGAGTGTTTTATCAAATTTTAGCAACATTTTGGGTTGCTAAGCGAATACAGTAAAACTCTGATAAGTCGAATGTAGTCTAATTCATATTTTAATGAGGATTCAAGCAAATAATTTGCGATGCGAACTGGATAAAAATTATATTTATTTTTCGAATGCATAAATTAAGTTATATTTAACCCTACTTATGCAAGAGATTCTTCTCTGAATCTATTAAGCGAGTTATCAGAGTTCGACTGAAAATTTTGTAATTCGACTTAGAAAGAAGTTTTACTGTATATTTCTTTCGTTTTAGACGGTTACACAACCGAAGATTTAGTTTTTCTTTGGAAAGAAGGCGATCCTGTTCAAGTGACAAAGAATCTTCATCTTCCACGTTTTACTTTGGAAAGATTCTTCACCGATTATTGCACTAGTCGAACAAATACCGGTAAGCATTATCCTAACTTTTTTTAGCGAAAAGAACACCTCATTAACTATTAAAGAGCACCAAATCACAATCCCAAAATTTTTGTAAATTTTAAAAGTCTGTTAAGTAACCTAATTAACCTTTTGTCTTCCGAATAATTAACCATGCTAAGTCAGAAAATTTGAACAATGAAAAGGGTAAACTGAAAAATTGAAAATGTCCATGCAAAAGTTCACAATCATAGAAGGAAATTGCTAGCTAAATTTTTAAATTCTTTGAATTCAGAGTGAAAGTTTGCAATGTCGCTTTAGCTGAGCCAACGAAGTGAAAAGAATTAAAAAATTTACTTGTCAAGAGATTTTCTTTTCTTTTACGGATCTATATCACATCTGTTCATTAAATGCGGCAATCAAATTTCTTTCTTTCAAATCGGCATTCGTAAAACAAAGCTACATAACTGCTACGTTTTAAATATTCATAGTTTCTCATTTAAAAAAGAAAGAATATCGCAGTCGTTATTTTTAGTGTGATTGTTCCAAGCAATTACGCAACGTCTTTGCAACCTTTTTTTTACCTATACAATGACAGAAAATTACAAAAAAATGATTTCTGAATGCTTAATAAATGTGATCATTAACAATAGATTTTGTTTTTGATTATGTTTTCCGAAAATCCGGGTTTCCGCACCATCAAAGACTATATTCTTAAGGATTTTAATTATATTTGTCAAATATTCGCAAATAATTATTTTTTTATTTTTCTGTCATTTTAAACTTCTAAATTTAACAATACATTTACTTATTTTTTTGTATGCGACGTAGCCTGTCGGATAAAATCATCTCCATTTTAACCCTCTCTGACACATTAACCCTACAGACAAAGGAGTAATATTGTGACACCAAAACTCATATAGGTCTTAAATAAAATAAATATGTCCTTTGTGATTTTAAACGATGTTTATGATTAAATTTAAATTTCATCACAACGAATTGCTTTCGTAAATTTATTATATTCATTAATAATTTACAGTTGCATAATTATAATTATCAGCTTTTCTACGATGTATAGTTTAATGCTATAGTTTTTTTTCGGCTACCATTAGGCTTTATAAGAATGATAAAACTTTCTAAAAATGCAACAGGCTTTTATTTTAAATATACTTTTTTTTAAAAAAAAATATTTAATCTAGAAAAAAAACATCCATTTAGTCTCTAATCAAGCAACATGTTTACAGCTATGTTTACTCTCTTCCCAAATTCAGTTGGCAAAATCAATTATTTAAATTTCAATTCATCATTTTACTTTCGTCGAAGAAATATTTGAACACGAGATATTGTAATCTACATGAACATAAATGTTTGAACATGTTTATCATAATATTTAAATATATTGGGACCAACAAAAGAAGTGATGTTATTTTAGAGGTGCTCAAATGAAATTTTAAATCTTTGTGGTGTAAATGTCTTCGCTATATGCTAGTAAATTATAATCTAAATAGAAAAAGTGAAGAAAAGTTATAAAAGGTAAGCTCAGTTCCAATATCCAAGGATGGCGAAAAAGGTAAATATTTAAGAAAATTTCTATATAACTAGGATATTATTTTTTGTTAAAAAAATATTCTCCTCGCTTCAATGATGATTAAAAAATAGGTAGGTTACATAAAATTGCTTCTTTTCTTCAGTCTGTTCAAGTTATGTAGATATTCTTTCAAACTGTTACTTTTATGTGTTACTCTTTGCAAATATGAAATTTAATATATTGCAAAATATCTCCTAATTGGGTGTTATGAATCAATCAAAGGATCTAGTATTATTTTAACGTACGTAAATTTGTAATCATTTGTTTATCATAAATTATTATTTTCTCTGATATTTAATACCACAATACAGTTTGTTGTTGTTGTCGTAAGTCTTTAAAACAAGGGGTGTGATTGTTCTTGGCGCCATCTATGACTAAGAATTTGACTTCTGACCCACTCATACGTCACATCCGTTTATAGGGTGAACCCATTCATACATCCATTCATTCATAAACTGAACCAGAGAACGATCAAACTCTAATTCAGTACCCCCAAAGGTTTAATTTGTTAAGGGAACATGGAGGGCTTTGTGACCCAACATATTTAACATGCTCCAGTTACTATATACTACACGGGGAGTCTTCGACCGGCTGTATTCGAATTCCGGTTCTAACGAGCGTTAGTCCAGCTCCTTGCTGACCTGGCCATTGCGGCCAAAATACAGTTTATATTGTTTATATATCACGGAATACATACTATTTTAATAACATTTTGTTCTATTTAATTTAGTATAAATAATGCAATGTTTGTAAGGAAAGCTAATCAGTAAGGCCGGAATATTGGTGTCATTTTTTCCTGCCTTTAGATAGTAGGCATTTTTCAAAATCTTTAAAAGAATCTCATTCTTATATTTTTCTTACATTTTTCACTTTTGCTTATTTTTGCTTGACTTTGGCGAACTAGATAAAATGAAGCCCCTGTACCTTTTCAGTTTTTTTTTACAAGTCGCTAAATGTTTTATTGCCAAGTAGAATACAGCACAGTTACGTACTTTGATTTCATTCGAAAAATTTATATTTAACAAGAAGACTTAGTTTTATACAGTTTTAAAAGTTCGCAAATAAAAGCGTTTGTCTACTATTATTTGCACATATTTTACAATCCTCACGTAAAAAGGCTACTGGGACTTATAATTAAAAAAAATAAGCTAAAACATTAAATTGTTCAAGGAGGAAAAAAAATTTTGAAACTACCGTACTGTATGGTAATGACATTTCTCTGGTAAAATAAAAACATAATTTTTAATACAAAACATGACATATAAAACATTTAATTAAATCAAAATAAACGATATTTAAACAGAGTATTTGGTAGTTTTTCCTCTTATATAGTAATGCTTTATCTGAAACTCTGGTTTTCAAATTTATGGTTATTATTACCACATATTTAATGAAAAAAATTCAAAACAGAAAAGTAATTTTAACTGAATAAATGGTTTGTTTTTTGCTATGTTCTAACATATCATGATGAAACTACCAAATTTTTTCCACATTTACCCAATTTTGGCAATGATTGTAAACCATAACTTTTTGTTATTTTTACTGAAATCTTTATCAAAAAACTTTGGAAAAAATTACCGAGCTTCTTGATGTTCCCATAGAGCCGGAAACGCGATAATTTTTACCATATTCCAGTAGTTTGGGCCATACTTTTTTTTTCTCTATATAACATTAGAATGCTTAAGTGGCTTCCTACTTTTCCAATTAATATAATTTAGAGTCATGATTTTAAAACGAATTTAAAGAAAACTAAGAAGTTCAGGAAGAAAATCGATATTTCGTTATAGTTCAAATAGTTACCAAAGTATAAAGATTAAAAGATTTTTACGTTGTCTCAATTTCTCCAATCGATTTTGCGCTGCAAAAATATTTAATTTGAAGTTAACTATTTAACTTATTTCATTCTTTTTTTTTTTTATTTTTTTCTTTTTTTTTTTACNTTTTTTTTTTTTTTTTTTTTTTTTTTTTTTTTTTTTTTTTTTTGCATTTAGTGTTCAGATAAATATTGTCTCTGGTAACGGTAAAATGTATCTCATGACAAACACATTTCTATGAAATATGGGACGGAAATCAGTTTTATTTCTTAATTAATTAATGTAAATTATTAATTCAAAATGGAGCAGTAAAATTATCAAATCATACTTAATGTTTTTATTTCAAATTATAAAACTATGTATGTAAGATTATCTTCAAAATGCAAATTAGTATTTATCTTTGATCTTTAGTTTAATATAAATTTCTTATTTTCTTACACTAATATGGCGCCAATAATAAAAAGTAAAATCTATCTTTGAAACAGAACTTTATTCATAGATTTTGAAGCCATTCTTTTAAGCAACAATCACCTCATTCATAGTATCGACACCCCTTTTTCCATTTTATCATTTTCATTGAGTGGTCAATTTATGGATCTGTCATCATATGCTACAAGAAGACATTTGTCACATTTTTTTCTCTATCATATATATCTCATAGTCTAAATATATAAAAAATGATTTTCCATTAATGACATTAATAATAAATGTCTTGACTTTAAAAAAGTATTAAATTAAAACATTAAAAAAGGGAGATAAAAACGGAAAATTTACTGGAACAAGCGAAAAACATTACATTGTCTTAAAAATGAAGTAAAATATTTTTAAATTAAATAAAAAAAGAAATATTTGTGAAATTAAAAATTATTTCAAATTTTATATATCTAAAGTTCATGAAGGTAGATGTAGATTCATAAACCTTAGATACATTTATTATATATAAGTTATAGGTTAGATAGGTTTATATATCTAAGGTTATACTGAAAACACCTAGAACTGAAAACACCGAATATTTATCTTTGCAGGAGATTTTATTTGCAATTTAATCAACCTCGCCTTGTAACGAAAATGTTTAAAATATATAGCCTTAATTTTCATAAATACACTGGCATAACTATTTATTATGTCCATTCTTTCCGTTATTTGACGAATATTTCAATATCTACTCGGTTGAATTTGGTTCTCTTTTTCGAAAAAAGTGTCGGCTGTTTTGTTATGTACACTTATGCAAAGTTAGGTTTGACATGCAAACAGCTTTTTCTTTACTTCAAAGGAATGAAAGTATAGACTGGTTCGAAAATATTATGATATAAAAGAACTTATTTAACGCAAGTAGATGTTTTGCAGAGTAAAAAAGAAAATGCCTATAAGAAATTAAAAAACAAAAATAATATAAGCGAGAAATACACGAAAAAGAAAGAGATCGATTATTTTGTATGATATTTTGGAATCTAAAAAGTTTAGTAGAAATATCTACGAATATATATTTTGAAGGTATTTGCCTTTCTTTTTTTTTCCCTCTAAACCTTGTTTTGCTTTAACCCGTTCTGGACCAGCGAAAGAGGAAATAAGCTCTTTCCCAGGATCGTATGCTTCAAAAGTAAGGATGTCAATGATTGCGCTTGGGTACTAATACGATATATAATAAGAGAGAACAAAATTGAGATGACGTTAGTTTGATCATGGGCAGCTGAAGTCAGAAAGGCTCGTCTTATAGATGGTGCCGTGAAGAGATTATATGGTCGGGGTCCTGAACGGAATAAAATAAAAACTACGCGTAAATAGCATTAAATCCTAAAGAGTACAAAAAAATGGAGGCAATGTGGAACCTGTGTTGTTTTCGTCTCTTAGTTAATAAAATTTACTAAAGTAGTATGATACAACAGTGGGGTAACGTCTAACATTTCTGTTCGTCATCCTTGTGTAAGTTTATCTGACTTATGTTGTCAAAGATATGCCGTTAAAGTTTTTTTTTATATATAGATGCTAAGAAAATGCGTCATAGATATTTTATTATTATGTTAAAGTACTGTGTTCTGATATAAAAATAACTATAATATAGCAATATGTTCCGTCACCCGCTTTTCTGATGTTAAAATGCGCAGTGAAAAATTTCCATTCCAAAGTTACGGTAAAATAATTGACAGTAGTTTGCTAATCCAGTTAACCGTAAAGTTTGCGGTACTGAAAATTACTTTACCTTCAGGGGTTGGAAATCATTTAAAACTGGTGTGTTTAAGAATTCGTGAATATAAAACTATATGATTTTCAACCATTTTCAACTAGCATGGCTTCAAAACCACAAAAATGAAATTGAACTGGGCATAAGATTTGGGTTATGTAAGGCTTTTCGTTAGGCAGAGGACGTTGGAGTTAGATTGCGGTTGTGTTTCTCAAGTGAAATGTGGAATGTGGGTTTAATACGTTATCTAGTGATGCCATCTATCATGATAAATGGAAACTATTCGACTTTTTTGTGTCAGGCATCCCTGTAGTACTGCCATCTATGCGCATTTCAATAATCCCGGGTCACCAATTGAGGGGTAAAGGACATTGGTAACTCCTTATGCTTTGAAGGTAGAACATATTGTTTTGTCACCATCTCATGAGATTGACGGATTATCCCTCTCGGAGAAATATATACACAGCTGCAAGAAATAAAGTAGCTTCATAAAGAGTTCACCACGCACTTATTACTATAAGATTATCAGGTATCCGCCTTAAATTTAATTCGAGGTTTTATTATAAAATTATTTCGTTAAAATGCAAAAAAAAAAGTTAAAAAAATTAAAAAGAAAAATAAATAAATATTTCTCCATAAGAATAGATTATTTTAAAAACTAGGTCTCGATGGCTTAAGGCACTTAGCTATCATTGTGATGGACTGCAGTTCGATCTCAGAGGGGGCTTTTTGAAGTAACTTTGAATTAAAAAAAATTTTTGCTGAAGAAAATTATCAATCTCAGAACATCTAGCATCCGAATTATTAAAGCAGTCACCGAGAAGTTATTGTCACGAAAGCTGTTCTACTAAATGACATAAAGCAAAACCTCTGAAAACATTGAGGAGCTAACTTGGGATTGAACTAGCTGCCCATCACATTATAACTGTCCATTGTTTTACTACAATGAATCCGATCTGGTTCAGCAAAAATGGATGAAGATTTTTCTAGCGGAATGACGTCTGTTTATGTTTCATCTAATGTTGATATTGCGTGAGTTGGATAACGAGACTTGCCAAACAATTACAATATATGGAAGTTTAGAAAGCTCTTTATAAAATATTTCTCTTTCCCAATTGGTTTTCTTTTCGTGATCATGACAGTGCCCGAAAAGCATAAAAAAAGTGTTAATCCAGAGAGATATCATTTTTAATGCATCAAGAACTATGTTTTTCAGTTACCTTCATTCAAATGTGTTAGTCTTTTTCTTTTTTCTTTTTTTTTCCTTTTTTTTTGTTGAACTTTTTGCTTGCACCGTGATTAAAAAAATCAAAATGTGTTTTTAAGCTATAAATTTTGAAACTAAAACAATAACCGATTTTGTTTGGTATTTTTATTTTTTTCATGTCTGTTTTCGCTAATTATTTCATTTTAATTTTTTTTCGGGGTGAATGCTTATTGCTGGCTAAATTCTTCTTTCTAGTATTCCGATTAAAGTTAAGTTACGATTGAGTTATTTTGAAATTTTTTTTCTGTGTTTACTTCCAAATGAATATGAATAGTAAGTACTGCGTGGGTCAGGGCATAGAGCGTTCGCCTTCCAATGAGGTGACCTGGGTTCGAATTCCAGAGCTGGCTGGTCAATACGAATTCCGCATCCGGCTCAAACCGACCTCAGTGCTGGCGTTTAAATATCCTCAGTGATAGAGAGATAATAGCTTGCCGTCGGGCTCATTATGGGAGGTTTCGCCGTTTTTTGCTCTATTTAGCGCAAAAAAGTCCTCCATGAAGGAAACTTTCTCCCAATTCTTGCTCGAAGAGTTTCCTTCTCTTCCAGATTATGTCCAAAATTACAAGGCTGAGGAGTTGAACATAAGTAGTCGTAATTCCAAACTTGGGTCGGCTTTTCAACGATGGTTGCAAAATAAAATAAAATATGTATAGTATGCGCTACGCAGAGGAAGTGAATAGCGCATGGAAATACATTTTACCATTAATTCGCTCCATCGGTCAGTGGGGTTTTTTCTTCCATTTTCCTATTTTTCTCTTTCGGCTGCTGTGGTTTTCTCTAGTTTTTTTTCTCTCACCGTTATTTTAAAATTTTTCATTGGAAGCTCTTCGTTTTATATTTCAAATAACTTTTGTTTCTGGCAATTCACGTCTGGCAAGTCTTGAAAATGGAAGCCTATGTTTGAACGCTTGGAATATGATGTTGTCTCGATTTAATCCTAACCATCTAGACCCTAAATATTTGAAGCAAGCCACAAATTTCAAAGTAATACCCTAATTTAGTTTTGAAATAAGATGAAAGCAAAAGAGAGCCGATACAAATATGATTTTAGCAGCCGTTGTCAAGGCTATAATAAACATTTTTATAAATAGATGTCTTTATTTTTTAATCCCCTAATAACCTGTTGTGCAAATTTAAACCAAGTTGTAATTTTTTCTAATTTTATTAATTATTACGTCCTTAATTTTTTAATTATTATGTCCATTATCGAAAACATTTTATTTCCTACCAAAATTAAAATGTTTAAGCAATCAAAAAGCTAAAATACTCTTTTAAGAATGTAGTATTCTTTAAAAAAAATGTGCCTCCCTTTTTCTGTATTTGCATTACACTTTCGTACTGAGTGTTCGGTACATCAAATAAGACAGATAAATAATAAATAAAAGATAAATACCAGCTCAGAAATACCATTGTCACATTGGAAAAACGTTTTCTTTCTTTTTTTACTTTCAAATTTAACTTTTGTCTTGTAAAAGTCAAGAGTAGCCACACGCAACGAATTGATTTTTTTTATTTTTTTATTTGCATGATTATATCTTTGTTTAACAAAATTTTAAACTTAGTTATGCATAAAAATATTTTTACTGTCTTTCCACGAAATGGATTAAGTTAAGTTATCAGCAACGAAACATAAAATATTCTTCTTGCGTATTGCAGTTTTTAAAATATTCCAAAAATCCTGATATAATGGGGATCGTGAATTGCCTACTACTGAATATAGACTCCTAAAATAATGCAAATTTACCACCTAAACCAGTATTTAAAAGTGCATATCCTGTTCCACTGGAAAATTTCATGTCCTAAAAGCAACGAAAACAATGTTGAACCCTCTGTTACCTATATTCCAATACATGGTATTTCGATTTAATACACATTTAAATTATATATTATTTTGAAATAAAAAGTATTAAATTAATTAACATAACATGTAGAAAATGGTAAGGAATTAAGATAATCTTATTAATGATTATTTTATTTCAACAGGAGAATACAGTTGTTTGAAAGTGGACTTGCTCTTCAAACGGGAGTTCAGCTACTATCTAATTCAAATTTACATACCATGTTGTATGTTAGTCATCGTTTCCTGGGTGTCCTTCTGGCTGGACCAGAATGCTGTTCCCGCACGTGTCTCTCTTGGAGTGACCACATTGCTGACCATGGCGACTCAAACGTCAGGTATTAATGCATCTCTACCACCCGTCTCCTACACCAAAGCCATTGATGTGTGGACTGGAGTATGCCTCACTTTTGTATTTGGCGCTCTATTAGAGTTTGCGCTTGTCAATTATGCCTCGCGCAGTGATGCTCATAAAAAGAGTGCCAAAGAACAACAGAAAAAGCAGTGGGAATTAGAACACGCAGCTCTGGAAGCCGACCATCTGGAGGATGGAGCGACAACATTCGCTATGGTAATTTCATTTTGATTTTTATATCTCTACTAGCCCAGTCAAATTAGACATTTGGTTTGAACTAATTCCCAAAAAGCAGGAAATATGATTTTATTCCACTTTGAGCATCCCAAATAAGAATATTATGTGCTGAAGTGAGATAAATTGCTAAGACACCTTACCTCTAAACCAAATTTATTCTATATCATTCGATGTGGAATTTGCTACTCTACATGATGCATTTTTTATATATTATGAGGCAAAAATTGAAAGGAAAACTTAGTTTTTTTTGGTTCTCTAAAACTGAGCCTACTTCAGAAACCATCGCAAGCTCATATTATACTTATTTGGGAAAGCGAAATAAAATAATTTCCAGATTTTCGAGAATTTGTTCGAAGCACGGTGCTTTTTCGATCTAATTTGACTGAAAGTACAAAAAAACGCCGTTTTATTATTTTACCCTCTTCCTTCAAATATCCTTCATTACATGAAAGTAAATATTTTTACTCTGCCCGTACAAATCAAGTTACAATCATATCCCTTGTACATTATTTTGACAAAAGTATCCCGGCACCAACAGAAAATGCCAAAGAGTCATGTTTACTACCTTGAAATGTATGTGGGCATTCTAAACAATGTTGTTCCCACAATTCCATGGCAATATTTTATTGAAGGGTCATTTTTTTCCTAGCAGGATTATTTCTCCATTCACACTTCGAAATATGAGCAGTCATTCTGTAACTAAATGGATGTTAAAACACTGGACTGGTTTTCTCAGATCCCTTGTCTAATCCCAAAAGAGCATTTCTGAGAAGAGTTAAAATGCGGATAAGTTCAGGGTTTGGGGTACTTTCTGTGATTTGAAATATTCTGAATGTTTCCTACTTCTAAGTATCAGCATGCATTCTCCTTCCGAGAAACATCCTGAAAACAATTTTTTTATTTGAAAAACAAATTATTCAATGGAACATTAGCGTTTCTTAAGCTGATATTTATTGTTTTGTTTGATATACTGAACACTCTATACTGAAGTCTTGTGCAAAAACAAAAAGGAGGTGAAGCATTTTTCAAAGAAAATTGAGTTTTCAAAGAATATGATAGCTTTTGCATTGTATAGACCTTTAATTTTGGCAGGATAAAAAAACATTTTATGAGATGATACTTAAGAAGGATACTTAGAAGAACATAGCAATTCTTGAAATGTATGTGGGCATTCTAAACAATGTTGTTCCCACAATTCCATGGCAATATTTTATTGAAGGGTCATTTTTTTTCCTAGCAGGATTATTGCTCCATTCACACTTCGAAATATGAGCAGTCATTCTTTGACTAAATGGATGTTAAAACACTGGACTGGTTTTCTCAGATCCCTTGTCTAATCCCAAAAGAGCATTTCTGAGAATAATTAAAATGCGGATAAGTTTATAAAGTCTGCCAAATCGACCACCCACAATGCTAGTACTCACATCAGTTGTGATAGATACCAGGAAGTCAATTTATTTGACAACTATTTGAGCATTACCTTATCTGGTTAAGCATTATAAATCTTAAATCTATTTCTTCTTGCATAATTTCAATGCAACACCTCGTTGAGTTAGAAGCTGAATTGACTCTTTAACATTAAGAAGATACGTCATTTAATTTTATGCAAAGTACGATAAAAATATCATTAAAATATCATATATAAGTTGCTAGATATGAGAGCTACTAAGTTGGTTTCAAAATTAGCTTTTTTTTCTTCTATTTTTTCATAGAGTTTATTTCTCGGGTGTCATTTTGCATATGATTTGCTCCAGTTTCATTTTTCCTGTGAGACGCTGTTTGTTTACCTTAGAAGAAACTGTGCGATTTTGTATAAACAAAAGGCGTTTGATTCATATATCAAAACCAAAAGGGTTCTTCATGTTCCGTTTTTGTTGGCGAAGCGTTGCTAAGACAAGTCTTCAAGTTTCTCAGATACCTCGCTGCCCATATAATTGGAGCTTCGATACTTCGGGAAGGTAGATAACGCTTCTATCGCCAAAAATGTCACCGGTATTGCCAACATTTTTGCCAAATCGAAATTAGTCCCGATGTTAATGAGAACACTTTTGATTTCCCTTCATGTCTGCTGTTAAAATACGTTAAATCGCTAGTTGTAATGTGGATTATTTAGAAAAGGGAGCGTGGTAAACATACAATGATTAAAGATTCATTATTTTCAGCCTAGCTTGTGTTATACAAGAAGTGTTATACAAGAAGTAATGTTATACAAGAAGTGCATATTTTCAAATGAACATTTTTTCTGTTGTTCAGTATAATTTCTGATTCATGAGTGAAATTTGTTTGTTTCTCTCTCTCTCCTTCTCTAAAATAAAACTGCTTAAAACAAGTTTTAAAACTAATATCTTAATTGTCTGTTGATTAAGTAATTTGAAGGTACTAGAAATTTGTTCCATTAAGAAAATTATTTTTTACTCCCACCAAAGAGATATTGCCGCGCTTTGTTAAGGTAGTCGAGATTTGAACTACATACAAATTGTTTTGAAGAAACGTTGAAAGGGGAACAAAATGTAATAAGAATCTGCTTTACAAAGGTTGTTAACTGCAATTTTCGTTTTTTTTTTCTCTTTAAATTGCAGTATTAAGTTAAAGAAGACTGGAAAAAAAAGAATAATCATTTTGAAAACTTTATTCAAGAAAACACATTTTTCTTAAAAACATGGTCAGCAGTTGTATTGCTTTTGCGCAAAAGTATGAAACAAATAATGTTGATAATGATGAATATAAGAGAAAAGTACTTTCCATTAATACTAACTAGATTTCAACATTTAATTGACTGATGCAGGAAGCTTTAAGTTACCCCTTATTCAAGCAAATTACCTCCATGCTTATGCTAGCCTCTAAATTTAAGGTTATTGGTGAATGGAAGCTTCCCATTTTTATTGAGCATTATTACTGTGTTCATCAAATAATATCTTCCTTCACGGAATTCCTTTCACAATCCTGACTACAAACATTGTTAGTTTGAATGTTTAATGAGTGATCGAGTAGGAGAGAGTTGATTATTTATGATCAAAGCTCTCTGATCAATGACGTGATTGATTATTTTAGTTAATTTTAGCTACACAAGACAAGAGCCTATGTTGCTACATCACATGTAAACTGCCCACTCCATATTCATCTTAATTGAGTTTATTTTGTTTTTAATTCTAACCCTTTGTATTTTATTAACTGAGTTTATTTAGGTTTTGCATTTTACCCAAGGTGGCGTTCTTAATTATTTTTACTTATCTTTAAGATATCGATTATATTTTTTCTAACTGTAACCAATTTAAGTTTAGCTCACTTTTTGCGTGCAGTTTACCAGTCACTCCAGGATTTGATTTTGCCCCAGAACGTAATTTTTTCTACTCGTCGAATGTTTCCTTAGGTACTCTCCGCTGTGGGTCTGAGATTTACAAGATTTTAAGGAAATCGAGAATAATAACGTATACACATAAAGGTAAAATAATTTGAATTTATAATTACTAATGAGTTAAAGAATTTTTAGAACTTAGAATTACACCATCTGGAGTGAGCACGCAACTATCCTCGGAGTTGGTGCGATCTCTACTTTTTTTTAAACTTACGCGTATTCAGATGGAAAATAATTAAATAATCCATCCAACATTTAACCATAGAGAAAAAAAAGTAACCGATCAACCAGCTTCCTGGGAATCATCGGTCCTCAGAATCTTTGATACGATGCTGATCGAAAAATATTAGATAAATCAAGAGATATGGCTTCTCCTATTTTTGAATTCTCTCGATTAAAGTTGGTTTTGATTAGGACTGAAATCAAAAGATTAATGGAAGATTGAAGCAGATAATGAAAACAGGATCATAAACAATTCAAAAATTCATTTCATTCCAGACCTCTAGGTTTAAAATGAAAAGAATATAGTTATCCAAGTGACATATCAAGTAAAATCGTAAATTCTGCATTACTGAAACAGGCCACGGGAGCTAAATATTCCACGACCTGCCTGATCAAAAGCCAATTCGAAAGTTATATTTAATCAACGCTTTTGAGTGCATGCAAGATCGATTTTAGGCTCGTTACCGAAAAAAAAACACTGCTCGCAAGGGATTAAAGTAGAAGAAACTTGCATGGTACGTCTTAAAATAGCACCAACGGCCCATTTTTGCGTGTTTATTTATAAATAATTATTTTGTTTATCACAGAAAATTGGCGTTAAGACATGAATTTTGCTGTATAAAAATGTCTCACTCAGTTTTTAAGTTCATCTTTAAGATTATTTAGTACACTCCTGGTCATTGGCCAATAGGTCACTAAGAAACGACCTTTTCAATATCTTTAACGATGCAGTCAAAGTCATTTAGAGAAGTACACATGTCCAAACAAGACGCAGTTATGATTGGTACGGAATTATATAAAGCACAATCAGGGGAGCTAATCAAACTAAAATTAATCAAATAGACTCGGAGGAAATCCAGTCCATTTAAAAGCCTAAACAAACCTGCACCAATATTAATATTAAATGCCCATGTCAAATCACAGTCGATATTATACATGGGAATTCTTAAATACTAGCAACCTTGCTGTTAATACCAGCAAACCAAACTTTGTAAACCGAGAACTGATAGCGGAAGTAAACAGAGTAATCTGTTAGTCTTTCCACTATCAGTTTCACTAAAAAGAGACGTACTGTTGTAATTACTACTAAAGAGTTCTTTTTTTCAGAAGCCCTTGGTGCACCATCACGGTGATCTGCACGCCGAGAAGATGCGCCAGTGCGAAGTACACATGAAAAGCCCCAAGGTGAATCTATGCCGCCGGTGGATGAACAGGTTTCCATCACGTTCAAAGCGCATTGATGTCATTTCGCGAATTTTCTTTCCTCTCATGTTTGCACTCTTCAATCTGGTCTACTGGACCACCTACCTTTTCAGAGAGGATAAAGAAGAATAAAAAGAAAACAAATCAAACAAAATGGAATTCATAGTCACTAAACCTTGAATTCACGTGAAAAACCCATTCTCTCCAAACCCTTTATTAATCATCTGTTACTCATCAATTACAAATACATTCATAATCGCTTGCATGTATATACTTATGTATCAGTATTCTATGATTTCATCGAAATTTTACAAACCCGATAAATACTTTTACGAAACAAGTTTATTTCATGATTATTTTCGAAAGTAATAATAAAAGGTAATTTATAACGAAAGAATCCATTACCCAGTATTTTCATACGTAAATTTTACAGTAATATACAGTGGGTTTTTCACGAGAAAAATCAAGTAACTAACATTCCTATATAAAAGGAAAAGAGACAAAACTGAATGCTTGACAATTATAAACCTATTTAACAGAAGGATCTGAAAAGACTATAATACGAAGATTGTACTTCAGAATTGCTCAGAAAGGGTATTTGTAATGGATATAACAATTGGTTCTCAGAAAGTCATTAGGATAGGTTGATAATCATTCATAAAACAGTTTAAAGTTTGTGAACGGAACCTATAGTGCGCAGTTTTGAACTAATCCCCTTCAAATATGGTGTTCCATTTTTAAAGCCAAATTTACAATCATGCTTCCAAACAATAACAAAAAAATGTATGGAACACATTGCTTTTATGTACATAACTGCTTTATAAATTTCTATTTATAAATATAGTGTATCTCAAAAGGACACTACGGTTTTAAAATAAAATATCACTAAAAGATGAAAGATGTATTAGTTAAATTAATAATGAAGATGATAATTAACCTTTAAAATCCTTCATACCTCGACACTAGTATCTCTTTTAATAAGGTTTCTATTGCATTTTCATCAGTCTTAAAAGAACTCCGGTGCATCACCGTCAGAGTTTCAAAGGATAATTATCCTTCACACCTTCACCTATTTGAAAGCAGTACCACTTAATCAAACGCTGGCAATATACGTTGTAGCATTACCGATTCTTAAATGATAACGTTGTTCTCCTCAAGCTGGAAAAAAGTCACTAATCATTAAATTAAAGTAGGAAACTTTTCTCATTTTAAGCAATGATATGAGGAAAACAAATATCAACATTTAAAGTCAAGACTCTTGCTCAGAAATATTGAATGAGTACGTGTTTGTTTCATAAATCAGCTTTCTAAAGTCATATAGTATTGTCTAAATTTTTAAAAAATTATACTGGATATTCAATGCATATTTCCTAACATTTCTCAATGCAACTATAGCGTACATTGCCATCTATCGGTTACATTTAATACTAATATTATGAATATGATGTGTCAGACTTTAGTGACACATTTTATACTTACTTGAGTCTAATATTTTTCATCTCATCGTTATAGGCCATAGAAGAAACGAGCCAGAAGCAAGAAGAGCATTCAAATCGACTTTCCATACATTTGGGTCTGCATGCGCACACCACCTCTGCGCATGCAAATACAAACGTATAGGAATTTGCCTCCTGTATGTCTCTTGCTTCCTGCTCGCTCCTTCAGCGAGCGTTCAACCTTAGAGTTATTTTCTTTTAAAACTTGGGTGTCACTTCCGTAACACACAGTGATTTAAGATCCAGACAATTTGATCTAATTTCTCAAAGACAGGCAATTTTTTTTTGTTTTTCTGTCTTTATATGTCTCGTTATTTAAAACTGCATACAAAAGTGTCCGTTCACGACATAAAAACTGTGCCACAAGACTGAAAATTACATTGTTCTAGAAAAAAAATGGTGATCGTTGTAGAGATATCAAATTGAGTGCCAATTTCGTCATTGTCGTGACGCAATCCAAATATTAATGTGTATAGTATCTGTTTTCTGTAGTGAAGTTCTAATTATGGAACGCGTAGATTTGAGAATTTTAGAAAACAGTAGAGCGACTGAGTGGGTTTTGTATACTCGTCAAAATGTTCATCGGCATTTCTCTAATGTTCCTCCAAATAAATTTACGGAAATTAAAACAGATATAAATCGTGGCGTAAGCGATTTAACGGGGATTTTTCACGGAACATTAAGAATTAAAGACATCTTAACTCAGTACCAAAATTTGAAACAATTCATATTTATAATGCTAAGAAAAGCTGCTTGGAAATATTTTATTGCAAATTTTTTAAACTAACAATAAATCTTGAATCAAAATGCTTTGAGTTCTTAAATATAAATCATGTGCAAACAAGTATAGGATATCTATATATACAAGAAATAGAGTTTTTAGACCCTCCTGTATTATCAAATGATATTAGCCCTTTGATAGACATAATTTAATTATACTTTGTTCTTGTGGTTATATACTCAAGAAAGTAAAAGAAAGTTATCAAAGTTAAGGAAAAGAGATTTGACACAGCAAAATTTACTAAATATGAGTTTATTAAAAATACAGTCAAACCTCGATTTCACGAACTTAGATAATACGAATTTTTCAATATCAAGAGAAAAAAAATTTGAATTCCCTACACATCTGCTATGACTAAAAATTGATTTTAACTGATTAGAAAACGAAGCGTTCTGTCGGGGATCCTCAGTTTCATGAAATAATTTTCATCAAAAATCACCAAAAATTTTTCCCCGGATTTCTAGAGAATTAGCTTTTTTTTAAAAAAAAATTTCAATACTTCAAAACTCTTCTTGAAGAATTGAATAACGCATTTCTTGAAACCTTAATAAAAAATTACCATGTTTTAAAGAAATCGGTGGAATGATTAATTTCGAAAGTAGTAGACATGAAAGACGTTTATATAGACAAGAATATTTGTACATAAAATAGGAAAGAAATTACTAATTTAATGATTATAAAAGAATCTTATGCGCATTAAAAAATAGCACTTGTTGAAAATGATATTGTGATTGGAAAGAATCAGGAATATTAAAAAAGCCTAAGGATCAAACAAAGGCTATATCAGACAAAGCAGAGAAAATTTTGCAAAACGTAAAATTGAATGAAAAATCAAAGGTTTTGGCATTGTTTGGATTAAATGTTTTTATAAAAAAATGCACGTTGAGCAACTTTCAAAATGTCAGTACAGCTAATAAAGTGACTACGTTGTTTAAAAATATTTGATTAAAATGTTCATTTTTCGATAAACCGAATCAAGTTCATAAAACCGAGGTTTGACAGTATTACATTACTTACTAAGTTTTTCTAGAATTAGAAGTTAAAAATACATAGAAACCTCTAATACCTTACGAATTGTAGGATAGTTCATAACTCAAATCGGATTTTGTTCAGTTTATAACACTCACATCTCTACTCAAGCGCCAATATAGAGCTTTGAGCTCGTTAGTTAAAAAACAGGATACAAAACAAACATATCCAAAACGTTATTTTATTTTAGAAATAGAAAATGGAACAATTGCAGATTATTATTTTTAATTATGTGCAATGAATCCTTTCTAAAAGGTATAATACTTCAGGGATGATCCAAAAACTAAAACTTACACTTTTATGTCAATAACAAATATCGATCCATCAAGAAAATAATATTCAACAAGATCTAATCAACTTGATGAATATTAAGTAAATGCCACAGAACGAATAACCAAAACGCATCATATTAAAAATGAGCTTACTTTATTCGTTGCACATCTTAAGAGTAATTGAAACACGAAATAAAAGATGAATGGTAGTTACAGATGCTTGGAAGCATCTATTTTTTGTGAAAAAATGAAAATGCAAGTCTTACGTCATTTCATAACAATTTATGCTAGCAATCTTAATAACAAGCAACACGTTTTTTTCTCTTATAAAATCGAATTCAGCGTTGAGTTTTAAATCTGATTCAAGCAATAACCTTGCTATGAAAAAACACTCCATATTGAAATTTCAGCAAAACCAGATTTTTATTTGCTTAACAGCAGATAAAATTGAACTTAAAAACAATAATAGCCTTTTTTTACTTTACAAACCATTTTTTTTTTATTTGAAAAATATTTCATTTCAATGGCGAATATATCATTTTAGTCTTTAAAGGATTAAATTTAAAATTTATCAATTGCAATATTTCACTATTAAATTATTAGTGGAAAGTTCTGCGAGATCAAGAAATCTTTATTAAAAAGAAAGCTTCACAAGCCAAGTGAACGCAATCAAACTATGATTTGAAAATGCTTTATCAGCTGTGACAACTAAATTAAAAATTTAATTTTTTCAAAGGGATTTACAAGTTTCGCTTAATAAATAATTTCCAGATAGATTTTTTCGAAAAATATGCATCGCGTGTGTATGGAGAAGGTAATGTTTTATAGCATATTCTGGCAACTCTCTTTAAATGTCCACTCGCAGTTGTTCAACATTTTTACACTCAGTCCTCAAATTTTTTACACGTATCTTTACTTGTTAAAAAATTTTATTTTTCAGTATCAGTACATATTTATATTTAAAATACGATTAAATTAGTTTAATTAGAACAAAAATATAACAAATAGAACAATAGAGTTTAACCGCAGTTTATTTTTAAAACATAATTGTTCAGACACCACAAAATAAACAATATTGTTTATTAAGGTCATCATTCAATAGTAAAAGTTAGGAATTTTTCTAATACAGTTGATAAAAAAGCGAAACACTTTTGAGTGAGTAAAATTCAAATTAAAGAGGAAATTCAAGTAATTAATATATTATAATTTAGATCGATGTCATTAATTCTTAATGTTCGATTAAAATGCCAAATGCTATAATTAATATTAATTTTATTAGTACTGTTTATGTTTGGAAAAGATACAGGACAATAATGACCCTAATTGTGAGAATTGTTATTTATTTAGAAACTTGGTAGATTTACTTTAATGTCGGCATTTTGATAACTGTCTAAATAATCTACTACTCAAAATTACTTATTTTGAGTCAGAAGAATTTTAGAGACTTTTAACCGAAAGAATCTTCAACTGAAGATTGAAACTGAATTGAAGCAAAGTTTTGCATTAAAAATGATCCTACTTCTTACCAATCCGGTATTGGATCTAGAATTCTACCAACTGAAAGAATTAAGTAGAGATCACTGCAAAACTTTGCTTAAGAAGGGTTTTTCTTTTAATGATTTTTTTAACATAAATAAAAAGCAATAAACATTAGTTGATAGTTTCTATATTATGCGGGAGAGAATATGAGTATTTCATATGAAACAATTTTGGTTCCAATTTTTTTTTTCAATCTCTGTGACAGCTATTTTAGTTAATTTATTATTTATATTTCAAAGATTCTAAGTTTATTTGAAAATGTACTCGCTAATTTCTGGAGTCTTTCATACGTGTAGATAGTATATATAAGCAACCAAATTGTACAGAGCCAAATTCTGATATACAGTTGGTAGAAATTTCATCCAGTACCGGATTGGTACGGAATTTGGTTCTCAGTGCCCATTGGATTAGTCCTCAACATTTTGATAGAAAAACAAAGAATTGTATAATAACCAGCCCAATTCCTTCCTCAGTGTTCAAAAAGAAAGACCCCAGTTTCGCAATTGTTAAAATAAATGTAGTTTTTGAAGACGCTGAACTTTGAAGATTATTTTGACAATGTTATAAAAAAGAATATTTCTTCCCTAAAATTATAAGCTCAAGATGATGTCATACTAATGATTCTGGGGTCTTTCTTTCCTGTGAACTAGTTGATAAACTTATTATGTGAAATCTAGAATATATAACACGTCGTATTGTGCAGCGATTTATAACAACCACATCCTTGTCCGTTTTAAAGTATAACACCCTGAAGCATGTTATGTGGATTTTGTGAACAAAAATGCTTTTTTGCGATTATTAGCTTAAGTATGTATAATGTTTTATATTGATTGTAAACAAATGAAGTAGTCATTGCATCAAGCAAAGTATATGATTGTCAAAGTTATAAATTCTCTATTAGAATGAACAATTAAGGAACCCGAAGTGTCACTCGCAAATCAAGCTGAAATTTTTTATACAGTTTTTTTTCCTACAAAATAATTTGTTGAAAACTTTGTGTGTTGCAGAGAGAAAAATTGTAAGTTTGAACCCAAACACTTCACCAAGTGCGCGATAAAAAACAAACTTGAAAAAATTGAGATATCTAATGAAATATTAATTTCAAATGATTTCTCATTAGTGTCCTAAGTTAGCTAATACATTTTTATTGTTTAAAAATGCCTGATAAATGCAAACTTTAAATGCAAACTTTGACAAGAAATTTTGAATTCTTTACTCAAAACAATAGATATTATTATTAATTTATCTTTAGCCTTTCGAACTATATGCCCAACTGGAATATTTAAAATGAGAAAAAAATATTGTAAAAATTAAAACAACCTTCACTAACCAATAAAGCCCTTTCCTTACGAAATAAATTGTACTGCATTAAAGGAAAAAAATATAATTTTTGATAACTAATAGCTACTTTAAAAATTGCAAAGTAAAATTTACAAATAATTTCAAATCCTTAAAAAAACTATCAACAAAACATTCAGCCCAATTAGCGAGTAATACTTCGGGTTTCTTTCCTGTAAGAAAGAACCTGATAAAATGTTTCTCTAATTATTTATTTTAATATTTTTGTCAGTGAAAACTTCAGTGATAAAATTTTTTCGCATATAATAAAAATATATATTGTATGTTATTTTAAAGACGTTGTATACAAAACTTTATATGTTTATGCATACAATCAAAAGTATTAATTTTCATATTATCATTTTACGATTGCGTTATTTAAAACTTAAAGTTCCCCTTCTAACAGTTGAGTTAATTTCAATA